GTTGCAGTCCACAAAGACATTGAAGCATGTCCGCATGAGGAATTGCAGGTCGCATTAGCTCACCCCCAGTGTCTTGTCCCCGGAGAAAAAGAGCAATTCCTTCAAGTCAATAGCGACTTGCTCTGTCAGCTCCAAGGCTCGGTTATGCCCCTGGAAGGTATTGCACCACAGGTGTTTGAAGCTATCTACCAACGTCAGCAGGGTGAAATACTCTGGGTCACTGTCCTATGGATGATTGCCCAACTCAATGGATACTGGGTTGGCGGCACATCCCCACCGCTGCCGTCAGTATTTCAAATCAACTGTGGTGGCCTGGGGGGCGGAGCCCTTGAAGGGGAGGTCCCCCCGCACTTCCATTGCACATGTCCGCCGGTAGGAGAAAGTCAAGTCTATGGGCCGTCACTCTCCCCCGCAGATGTCCTTGATGAACAGGAATGGGGGGTTGCCTATGGCTGGTCGACCGGAGTGCATGAAGTCGCCACCCTCTTTGCGCTCACACAGAATCCGTGCCAGAAATGGGAAGATCTAGGGTATGGCAAGGCAGCCCTTCTGTACCAACGTACACAGCATGTGCTGCAAGCAGCTAGGCTGCTCCCTGCTCATCGACGGCTGCCGCACCAAGCCTTTCTCAGTGGTCTTTGGTGGAAGCTTCTTTCGCTCCAGCCACTGCGACTTCTTGCCTACTTGCCAGTGCTTGGGTGTCTGCGGCCGGCTGAACAAGCAGATCCCCCCCATTTTACAGTAAATGGTTTTAGTGCAGGCAGCTACACTGGAGCAGTGATTGCCTTAGCAATTCGTTGCCTCTGGCCAGCCAGTCAGATCACAGCGCGCCTAGGCGCCATTGCGATGCCGAAGAGTGTCTTAGCAGCACTCGTAGCCACTGCAGAACCTGAAAGGCACAACTACTATCTTGTCCATGCTGCTGAGGATTGTCTGTGTGACTGGAAGCCGACAGAGAACGAGCTCGACATGTTGCAACGATCCTTGCACATCACGTATGTAACAGACTCTGCAAGATGGATGGGTAAGCACAAGCACTGTTATTGGCACTGGCTCCAGTGCCAACTCCCTACGGGCAAAGTGAGTCTCACCACACTGAAGCTCACGCACCCGGATGTCATTCCTCGCCGCGATCGAATTGCCGCTCCGATGCGCCTAGCCTCCTGGATTCGATTTGAAACGGCCATGACAAGCGATGATTGGGAAGGAGCTATCAGCTTGTTGGTGTCCAACCTCCACCGTCCCGACCAGGAATTGCTGGTGCTACTACAAAGCTGTGTGGCCGGACAGCCAATCGCCTCCATGGAAGAAGCACAGGCGCTGTTGCTCAAAAACTTTCGTGTTGGCAAAGGTACTCAAAGTGCATGTGCTCAATGGCTGACGGAGATGGCTCGAGACCTATTGGCGCCGATCCCGTTCCGAGAAGTCTTTGTCATTCTAGCCCTCTTTCTTCCGCAGCTCACCTTTGTCGATGAAGCCACCACAAGACAAGAACTGTGGAGTAGTCCCACTGTTCGAAAGTTTGGCCTAGTTGTGGATGTCACACCCACAGCCACCGGATTGCAGGGCACGCATGAATATCGCATAGCTTTTCCTTCGGGGTCGCAAACGGCTATCTTTTGCCCGGCGCACTTCCAAAGTTGTAATTTCGAACAACTAGCCAGCAGTCCCTCAAGTACAGTGCATACGGGCTCGCAGGCTGGGAAGGCCTATCGAATCGTTCTGGAGGAGCACGGCGCGTGCTACTCAGTCTTGGCGCTTTTGCTTGCCTTTGTGTCTCCCTCTCGGAAACGAAAAGGGGACGAATCGCCAAGTGAGAAACTTCGTCGGCTGAGCAGCCCTCGGCACTGGGATGTTGCCTTAGTACCGTTCCCGGAAGATTTCGTGCCGCTGCCCACGCCAACCGAAACCGGACTAGCGTGCCCAGCGCCATGGGCTTTCCCACCTAGCCTATGCGCGCTAGAACCTAGAGCAACTAAGCTCCGAGTGTTGGCCATTGCGGAAGCAGGAGATACGGTCACTGCCGACCACCTTTTGCAAATGGCCAGCTTGGCTGCAGAGCACAAACCCACAGTGCTGGGTATTCCTGGCCAACCGTATCAACTAGAATGCACGGTAGTCCTTTTGCAGAGCTTGCATGCCCTCTTCCAGCTGCTGACCTCCGGCAATACAATGCAATACTGTCCCCAAGCAGCCAGCTTTGCTGTTGCCCTGGGAACTGCCGCCCGGCAAGATAATGGGCACATTGTTTCGATGGCCGCCAGTCCTGCGCTGGCCCTTCGAGCTGGCAGATCTACCTTGGCAGTAGCAGGTGTCTTTGGAGCGGGCAAGACCAGATCCCTGACCTTTCTCCTTGCCTGGCTGGCCCTCACCACTCACCTTAAGATTGCAGTGGTGCATAAAGAGAATCCAGCGGGTCGGGCAATCACTAAGTTGCTCACAGCCTTTGACTTAGAGCTGGACCACCAAAGATATTTCATTCGACCAGTAAGTAGGGAAGAGGCAGAAACTAACACAGCGTGCACGGACTATGACTTGCGTGCAAGCGAAGCGGCATCATACATCCCCGGCTGCCACGTGGTGATTGTCACTACTGGGCTTGTTTGGGACCAAAAAGGACAGACCCACTCCACACTCAACACCCATATGGAGAATGTGGACCTGCTCATTAGCGAAGAGGCGCAGCAGGACATGGACCTCAAATCTGCCTTTGCGCCAACAGTCCCCCGACAACCCTTCTTTCGACTGCTGCTTGGTGATCCCAAACAGAGCCCTGGTGGAGTAGCCGATGGACAGAGAGCCCATCGCACGCTCCTACTCAAAGCTCCCATTGGGCTACGAGCCCCCACTACCTGGTACATGCCGCATGAAATACCAGGGGTCTTTCACATGCTCCTCCGACACGGCCGAGGCTTTGGCCTCAGTGACCCAGAGGAAACTGCCAAAGTCGCGGGCCACAGGCCCTTAGGAAGCTGCTGGTTTCGCCCGGAGAAGGTCCAAGCCACGTCCTCGTTCGCTTGCCAGTTACAGTCCACCTGCAAAGACCTCTCCAGAGTAGACCTGGATCTCCCGGAAGGACTGCTGGTGGGTCTAGGCTATGCTTTTTTTTCCACGAGTACGGACGCCGTGTGGGCATGGTGCCCAGGTCATCGTTGAAGGGAGGGAAAAACAGTCTGATGGTGGAGAAAATAACAAGGACCACAACCCCAAACCAAAAACCACAACCAAAGGCCCACGGGCCGAGTCTCCACCATCACGTAGTCTTTCCTCTGTGCTAGGTGAAACAGGTGAGACGAAAAAGAGTGTCTAGAAGGGGGCCTGAATTAACGAACGAAAAGCATATCGGCGCAGGTCTGTGCTCAAGCAAGGTCGCAATAAGGCTTCAAAGGGACCTCACTTCACAATTATGAGTGACCAGCGGCCACACTCCAGTGCGGCAAAATCATGGTCACGATGCAGGTCAACACTCCAATACGGAGTATCGCAATGCTTTAATGTCGATTGCATCCCTGGCAAGGGGGGTGGCGTAGCTATGCAGCATGCCGTGGAAAAGACCTTTCTTGTGGCACAACCCGTTCAACCGGTTGCACTTACAAGTCAAGTGGCATGCTACCAATCGACAGTCAATAAGTGGCGGCCATAATCGACTAAAGCCGGCAGGGAATGGTGCAAAAAGACCCCCCCCGAAGGGAGGTCAGTTCAGCACCCTTTGGCACTCAAAGGTACCAAATAGCAAACAGAGTGGGGTGTCTTCTCGGTCTATGAAGCGCTGCACCGTTGCAAAAGGTGATCGGCTGCATGCAAGGCCCGTGTGAAACTGGTGAAACAGGTGAAACTTTGGACAATCCTAGCGTGGTATCTGTACCTCTTTGTACAAAATTGGAAATGTCGGACATCAACAAAGGGAACTAAGGTTCCCCCTGGGCATCCGCCATTGCCACTCTCTACCACCCGCCTGTTAGGAACGAAGAGCTAAGGCTCTCACTCCTATTGGCTCACAGCATTACGAATGGCGAAAAGAGGTTGTTTAGTGCTTGCGCATCTTGCTTGCCGTACTCTGCTGTCGGTTAGCTTGTCCCCCATTCCAGTCACAGGATTACCGGCTCTGTCCGGTTGGATCAGTTTTCTTCCCTGTAACGACTGGCATCTGTCGACAGCTCTCAGCATTGTCTGGACTAGACGAGTTATCCAGTTTGTTCAGGGACACTGGTCTTTGGCGATGTGCAGTTTATTTTCTTTTGCTTGCCCCTAGCCTCGCCATGATACTCTTGAGTACCTGGACATCCCTTTGGCGTTCCTTTTTTCGGTTCATTTTTCAGGAACCATTTCTTTTTGGTTGAACCAATTCCTTGTGTGAATGATGGCAGTTTCTGCCCTGTACTCCCAGTTTTGACTTGCAACAGCACCTTATAATTGGATGCTGTCCCTGTCAAGTGCGAAGTTGGCTGACAGAACTTGTTTCCACTATAGAGTGGTGACGCTGGAACCAGGCATTGGTCGCAACTGCTTTGCACCCACGCGTGGACCCACAAGAGTGTCATATACAAGAGTGTCTCACAGGAGTGTCAAACGATGTTTGAACCAATTCTTCTTGGAGGCCCCGAAGCACCCACAAAAAAGAAAGAACTTTCGGATTTTCGCATACTTGGTATGCAAAAGTCTGAAAATTCTGATGGTAGCGCATCGTATTTATATATATATACTGTGCATGTTGGGTTGAACCCATAGACCCTTCCAAAAAACAAAAAAATTTCGGATTTTCGCATAGCAGAGTATGCAAAAATCTGAAAATTTGTGGTTCAACGTGGACATTTTATACCGCGGTACAAATATATATTGTATTCTTTACAAGCGTATACATGCAAACAAAGGAACACTCACACAAATAAGGGCACCCTCGTTCAAACGTGCACCCTGAAAAGGAATTCGCACAGACATTCGTTCAATCATTTGTCACAAAAACCTGAAAATTCATGTGCCCAGCTTTGAGCCGCAACTTTTCACTCCCTCGCTTTGTCCCAGAAAAGTTTGGCTGCGATCAAATACTTCTGCGCCGATCTTTTGGCAACAGTACGTGGGTGAACAGTCCGAGCTATTTGGCAGGCTTTGCCGACCCAATCCTCTGCTGCTTGTGTTGCGAACAGGGTTGGATTCAAGATATCATCAGCGTCTGCTGATAGCGAAAGTTGAGCTCGCATATCTTCTAAGACATGCCCCAAGTAGTGCATCTTGGGTGTCAAATTAAAGAAAGTAATTCTTTTGTCAAAGCACATCTTTGCGCATTCATAAGTTTTTTGCAACCACACACTTAAAGCAGTGGCCGCAACAATGCCTTCACTTTTGGAAAGAAATTGTGATTTGGTCGAAAAGACTGACCTTAAAAAGTCATCTATCGCCTTGGCAGCTACGTATCCGGTTTTCCCAATTTCATCCAATTCAACTTCTGGCCGTGCCATGTAGTCGATGAGGAATCCGAGAAGCAAAGGTGCGTCGGAGCCCTTGAAACTCGCCTCTGGATACTTGCTCATGGATGTCCAGGACAGGTTCTCCTTCGTGAAATGCTTTACCCTTGGGTATCCACGACGCCTTGTACAATATTGCTTGAAAAGCCGGTAGGTCACTTGCAGTCTCAGGGGGATGCTTGCATCATCAGCCTCAGTCGCGTGGAAAATTTATCAAATTCAACTCTGACTATATATAATACCCCAAACCATTTTTCTCTATCACATTGAACATACAATGTATACATTATATATATATATATAGTGGCCCCAACGCACACATTCACAGCTAGGCAGAGCCAGGGTGCAAAGACTTTCATCGTGACCAAAAAGCACATCAAGTTGATGCAAAAGGTACGGATGGCCCCAAGATGGCACAAATGGAACAAGTCCTTCGCCAAGAACATCTCATGGTCAGCACCAGGGATTTGTTGGAAGGGACCTGGAGTCGTCCACGGCCTCTCAACATAAACTGTCCTGCGCCATTGCGCTTCATCACGCACATCAGTGTATGGAAGTGTGGTGTCATTTGCAAGACACCAAGAGCACATAGAATTGGGTGTGCAATTGAAGTTCCTCTTACAATGGTATGCTTTTGCTTGGGCAGGTAGGTCACCCTCGTGAGCTACCCACACAAGGAAAACCTTTCCAAGCACTTCAGTTTGGACACCGTTCAAGTACACATCAAGAGCTTGCGCTGCAAAATGCCCACACAGTTCATCAAGAATGTGATTTCCTCTCTCATAGCCAGCGTGCCCATCTTTGTAGTCCTCGTGCTTCATGCACGACCAGAAAATGTATCTGGAAACACTGGATAAGTCAGATGGTAGCACAGGTCCCCAACTGAATTGGTAAACACCAGTGCGACGCAAGCCAGTACCCTCATCAGAATGAATCTTGACTGGCACGCATGATGACAGACGATGCCCATGATCAGAAAAAACTGGATGGTGCGGATAGTACTTGCTATAAGCCTCCCAAAACTTGAGTAGAACCTGCCGGAATGCCACTTTTGGCAAGGCATCAAAGCCAGCCAAGAATCTCTCAGGGTACGCAGCGAACACATACTCAGCTACAGTGCGGATATCCAGGACGTGCGTTTTATGGCCCAACTGCTCAAGAAAAATCTCACTCACTGGAATGTCTAAAGACAAGCCAATTGCAACTGCCTGGCGAATGAACACATCATCTTTTCTAGACTTTGAATCATTGGCGAGGGCCAATTGTTGCATCTCAACAAAGAACGGGCTGCCAGGAATCATGGTGCTGCATTGTTCATGAGCGCGTCTAGCTGCGTGATCTGCATTGTGGTCCTCAAGTCGCAAATTTGACCAACAGACCGTGACCAGCGCAGCAACAACCAAGAATGACAGGGCTTTGCCATTTACCGTACCATGAACAATGAACAACACAATAGTGATCAAGCCCTCAAGACCTCTCTCTCAACCCCCAACACAACAGACTGTATACAGAGCTCTCACTCTGACAGGTCCGCAATGTTGATGGACAAGCGGCCACATAGTCTTTCAAGATAGTGCGGATGGATTTTAAGCCTGCAAACATAATCAACAAAATGTGGTTCCCCCACAACACCTCCAGAAATGTTTGGTGACCAAAGGGAGTACCAAAGCTCCAAAATACTCGGCTATGTTTTTTGTTTTTTTGCTTCCACAAGTTGCGCTCGGAGCTCAACCCCTGCAACAGCCATATCAGAAAAAGGCTCAATATAGGCCTCTTTCCAAGCCACACCCCAAGGTAAACGCAGCGCAGTGACTGCGCTTACAAACCCATCTAAAAACCTACCAGAAGGCAGCCGGGAGCAAGACCATCAATCGCAAAACTATACAGGCCCTGTGTTTTCAAACTTGCAGGTTGTAGAGCAAAACCATACAGAATGTTTCTTCCACGATCCTACTCCTCCTCCTCTTTTGGGATTTCAGATGCCTTCTTCTTAGCCCGGCTTTTTGCAGCCGACTTCTTGAAGAAAATCTTTACAGCGTTCATATCATTGTTGAAGGCAATTAATGCCTCCAGGATCTTAGCAGTCACCTCCTTGTACGGAGCCTTGGCACTGGGATTTATCTTGTTCTGAACCCGCTCCAGGTCACAAATCTCTTTGTAGAGTTCGCTCAGCTGACCTCAGGCGGCAAAAACAGCGCAGCTCAACTTGGAAAAATGTATATTTATATATAGGCATACGCACGCAGATACACGACACGTACGCATGGTATACATACACATACACTATACATATATTTATGTATTTTTTGTATGTGCAGTGTGTATGTGGGTAAGAATCTTGAAGGGAACAATTACAGCCACAGTCACCATTCGAGCGCTCCAAAGCCAAGTACTCATCCCTGAGGGCCATACGCTTGGCGACAAAAAGCTCCCCTTTAATGTCATACACACACATCACACACCAGAAATAGAACAAACAAAAATTGGTAAGATTTCCAACCAAAAGTCTTCCCGCTCATTGGTTTCTCTTGCGCCCACCGCTCAGCAGCGTCTTTGAAGACTTGACGACGGTTCAGGACTGCTCTCTTGTACTTGGAAACAAATTCCGCGCAGGTTTCCGATCCCTCGATGGATGGAAGACCTTTCGACTTGGGTTTGGAACCCGGCGGTACTTCTTCCTCCTGGCTTGGAGAAGAAGGACTTTCTTCATCAGACAACTCCATCACATCACCCAGGCCGAGGGAGAAACCTTCATTGAAGAACCCACTCCCCTGCATCAATTCCTCAAGTTCTTTCATTTTCTGGCTTCCTTGCCTCAGCAAAGTTGCAGAAGCAGAAGCTCATCAGAACATTGAACAAAACACAAAAACTACAGGATCATCGAGTTGGGAAACCCTCGCATCATGAACCAGAACACACAGAAAAATTGACCTTCTTGTCCTTGCTGCTCCACTTTGTCGCTGGTCAACACGAGGTACTTCTTGACTTTCTCGTACAAGCACTCCTTCGTGAGCTTCTTTTTCAAGCAGTACTCTTTTGCGCCAGCAATCTTGGTCCTACAGTGTGACATTGTGAGCGCAGCACATGCTATCAAAGTTCACCCACTAAAGGAAAGCCAGCTACTGCCCAGAACAGCAAAAATACTACTCAAAACTCCTGCGAGGTTCTCAGACCAACCTCGCTCCTTCATCTCTGCTTCTGTGAGCCACTCAAAACCCTGCAGGTTGGTGCGCCAATCCTTTGACGCTTGCCGCAGCTTTACCAAGCACTCCAACCGCGCGCGGTTGCTGGCATAGTCATGCTCTTTGTTGAACACACGGCGAACAAAATCAGAAAGTAATTTGTTCCGAGCTTGCCCTCCACTACGCCAGGCCTCCAAAATTTCTTGGGGCACCTGCTTCTTCTCACCATCCCGACACAACCTGTACAAGAACGCCCACGCTTCTGGGCATGTGATCGAATTGATCTGGCCAATTGAAGTCTGGCCAGTAGCACTCGTGCCCACAATCTCTAGGGAGTTTTCAATGTCCGCAATTGGCCTTTCTCTCCGCCACAAAAGTCATGGCAACAAAAAAGATAGGGCAACAACCCTGACCTGAATGTCCCCTCATATACCTTTAGCCCAAGAGGTCTTGTACTAGCAGCTTGTGTTCATGTGTTCAAGACCCACCCCCGCTGACGTATCCTATATATAGAAAGCACTAAAAATCGATATTTTTGGCTCTCCACCACACTGTCCACACATGTGTGTGTGTGTGTGTGTCGATATGTATTTACATATATGATATATGTGCTTTGTCTTTTCGGAGATGTGTTTAATTGTAGCCTAGTCACACAGGGGCATCAGGCATGCGTACCACCACACCAGGCTGCAGTGGCTTCTGCGACAAACGGCTTTCGCCAGTAACAGGTCCTGCGGGTAGGGGGTTGGTGGGGGCAGGTGGCAAGACTGATGGCCCTGGGGTTGGAAACTGGCGCCATGGTGCTTGGGCTAAGTTGACACCTTGCTGCGCATCATTCTCAAATGCTGCACTCTGTGGAACGGCTGGGCTAGAGTGAGGAGTTGGTTCCTGGAGGGCTGCTGCCATTAGGTTCGCAAAAGGGGTGACCCCAGCCAGCGGCAAAGTAGGTGGAGGACTTGCGCACGTGGTGGCCAAGGTTGAAGCGTCCATTCTTGGCCTTTTCAGGGTGCCATCACTAGTTGCCAGGTCAGCCTCCAACCCAGCCATTGTCACCCTTGCTTGCTTTTGTGCTGCCAGCTGTTCTATCATCCCCTTCTCCTGTAGAAGAAGCTGTTGCTCTTGTTTTCTCAGTTCTTGTCGTGCCTGCTGCAGCTTTTGGAATGCACTGCCAAACGGTTGATGTTGCAGTTGCGCTTGCTGTTGCTCTGCCAGCTGCTCTTGTGAATTGTGTTCTGACCGCATCTCTGCCAAACACAAAGCCTGCTGTTGCTCCGACAGCGCCATGCTTTCAGCCTCTTGCCTTTGCTTGTCCAGCTTCAAGCGCAGGATCTCACGCGCAGCTGCATCATTCTGCAACCCTATATTTGGCTGCTGCTTGATGTGCTCAGATTGCCCCAACAAGGCTTGGAACTCATGTTGTTCCACTTGCTGTGCCACCGGGTACAAGGCTTGCTGCCCAAATTCTGCCTTGATCTGCATGTCGCACTGCCCTTGCTGCTGTTGCTTTTGCTGCTTGACCTGCAACAACTGGCACTGCTGCCTGCGCTGAAGTTCTTGCATCCGCTCTTGCGCTTGCTGCTCCAAGAAAGCCTGTTTCTGTTGCTCTGCCTGAAGTTGCTGTTTGCGCTGAAGCTCTTGCATCT